TCCTGCCCAAAAATAGCCCTGGGCTCACACAACACCAAAAGGTTGGCCACTATCAGAATGACTTCTAGGGATTCATTACAGTTTAAAGGCATGGTTCCCTCTGGCAAATCGCACATGCCTGATGGAACGTTAAGTTCTAAAATGAGAATTAGAAATAGAAACTCTTCAGTTTGGGGATGCTGCTACAGAGGCTTGACTTAGGCTTGGTTTACATGTTACAGTCGCAGAATGGATGTTATCAGACATTAAGGCTGCGGTTACACGCACCAGTTAAAGCGGAGGGGAAGCGATTTCCTCCGGAGGAATCTGACACGCAGTTGCGAGATCACACACCCCTTTGTAGCTGCGGGCTCAGCCTGTCACTGTGTGGTCAGATGCAACTGCTGGTGAGTTGTGGTTTTTTGGCCATTTGTTTCCCATGTGCATAAATGAGGAATCGCACCTCCGCATCGAGGGCCCCCTATGGGTATGCAGTGATGCGCATACTGTGAATGGGGGGGGGGATGGCACCGAGCCGGGATGGCCTGATCAGCCCATCCTCATCCTGATGGCATGCATGCGTGCTTGCCCAATCAGACAGGGGAAAGTCCGTCCATGGCCTGTCGTAACCCGTTTACTACCGGATTTTCTCTGGTGTCTTTTTACTCTGCTTCTGCGGTGGAGCAGCACGGGTTGCCGGCGACTGTGGGATGCTTCCCAGGTGTTGCTGTCTGATCGCGCCCTTTAGATCCGCCGGGCATTCACACCTATGTCGCGTGTGATCGCAGCCTAAGGCTTGAGTAAGGGAAAACTTGCCACAGAAGTGTCACTTCTTATAGTGAAAATAATGTGGGTTTGTGCTACCTGAGAAAGGTACCTGTGTTATACATTCCACATCAAAAGCACACGCATCACCAGACATGGGCTTTATCTGTGCCTTTAAGGCGTAATGTGAGTAATGCTCTCTTTTCATCAACATATTTTCATTCTCCTTGTGTTGCAAACTGATGTGCCTTGGCAACACTGGTGTTGCAACCCGTTGATGTGATGCAGGCTGTGACTACACAACATTCAAAGCCTTTGCTTAGTAATGTAACAAGTCTGAAGATCAGGTTGCTAGTTGCAGGCCCAAGGGGGATTTCCTCACGGGGTACTAATTGAGTATTCTTTCAATATTCCTTAGGACAAAATTAAAGATAAACTGCGTCCTATTCCTGTAACGGTCGGCGTTGCAATTAAAGGGTCTGAATCCAGTGTTCAACCCAGCAGGAGGCAAGGAAGGTCACTTCCAGATCTTGTTCCAATTCTAAACTCAAATGAACCGAAAACAGTTAATTCAGAAGTAAGTTGTTTGTTATTAGATATTGATTTATTCCAGTCTGTTTTGGTTATGCTTAGGGTTGCTAATTCCAAATCGGGAAGTTCCTTGAGATTTGGGGGTGGAGCCTGGGGAGGGCGGAGTTTGGAGAGATGAGGGATGTGATGCCATACAGTCCACCCTCTGAAGCTGCTGTTTTCTCCAGAGGAACTGATCTTTGAAGTCTGGAGAGCAGTTGCCATTCCATAAGAACTCCAGCCCCCCCACCCCACCCTGCCCCATGAAGGCAGGCAGCCCAAAAACGTATGCCACACAGAAACAGAGAGAGACACACACATAGAGAAAGAGTTACCTCAGCCACTTATTCTGCCTTTATTATCTGTTCTTCAAAATCTGTTTTCTTTGTGTGCAAAAAGTTCTAAGAAAAACATGAACCTTTATTTTCCCTGCAGACCTGCTCCTCCCCTTTTGCAGAAGGGTGCAGCAGTGTGTAATTAACACAGCAACGGTGCATAACCTGACTGAAGTATAGATAAAGGTTTATTTAGGAACTAACATAAAGGTAAAGGTTCCCTTGCTCGAAAGCCAGTCGAATCCGACTCTAGGGTTGCGGTGCTCATCTCCGTTTCAAAGCCGAAGAGCCAGCGCTGTCCGAAGACGTTTCCGTGGTCATGTGGCCAGCATGACTAAACACCAAGGTGCACGGAATGCTGTTACCTTCCCACCGAAGTGGTACCTATTTATCTACTTGCAATTTCTTGCTTTCAAACTGCTAGGTTGGCAGGAGCTGGAACTAGAGACAGGAGCTCACTCCGTCATGCAACATCCGGGTCTCGAACTGCTGAACTACTGACCTTCCACAGCCTGCAGTTCAGCGTCTTAACCACTTGAGCCACCGCAGCTCCAGAAACTAACATTCTTGATAGTTAAGAGGAGAGGCTGGGCAATAAAGAATAGTGCTCAACAACTAACAAGCCATCTCACTGGCTGCCCCAGTGGTTTCCCAGATGCAAATGTTAACTGGAGCACTGTAGAACAGGACCATCAGTGAAGCAGGTCTTATGCTGGCTCTGACTTCATGGTAGAAATAGTAATTTGCTTGGGGAAGGGAAGACCTGTTAAGCAGGGCTGTGGAATGGAGGCCTATGAAGGATTTGAAATTATTAGAACTTTTAAAATATTTAATACCTGACTACTGAATTTAAATTTTGGGCTCTTTGTAGGTACAATTCCTAAAAGAAGGGTGTGGATCAGACAATATATGCCACAGCAATCTGCAGCTTCATTACAAATTCTGCACCAGAGAAGGAAGTGAAGAGAGATTTGTTTATTTACCAACGTAAGTCTCGTTGCATAAAGTGGTAGCGTCGGAAAAGATAGTGACTTTTGTTCCACTCTGAAATGTTTTGTCCCGTAAGTCTCTAAGATGTGACTCGTTCTTTTTTTGTTTCTAGTGAGAAAAATATTCCGGTGCTTGTCTTGAAAGACCAGAAAGATATTGCCCTTGAAGTTACAGTGACAAACATCCCATCAGATCTAAGACAACCCCAGAGGGATGGGGACGATGCCCATGAAGCTAAATTAATTGCCACCTTTCCAGATAGCTTGACATACTCTGCCTTCAGGGAGTCAAAAGGCTCTCTGGTAAGTATTCTATTTAGATTTTGAGGAAACACAAAGATTCTGTTAAACCTGGTACTGAAGTATCTTTTTTTTTTTTAAAAAAAAATTAGGACAAGCAACTGACATGTGGAGCCAATCAAAATGGCTCTCAAGTAGAATGTGAACTTGGAAATCCTTTCAAAAGAAACTCAACGGTAAGTGGAATTTACTTTTGATAGCTAATACAGAAACGTTTGATTTGGTTGTTTTCTATAGAAAGCTGAGATACACTTTTGTCTGAATTAAAATCAGAGGCACGCTGACAGAGACAGACTGTTATTATGGGTGAGCATTACTAGCCCTCAATAGATCTCATCTGAGTCACCGATCTGGGCATGTCTCCTGATTGGAAGGAACAGGGCCATAGAGGGTGCTGCCATTTCCTCAAGAGGGAGTTATTTCCTTGACTATCTGCACCATGAAGCCCAAGTACCTAAACATACACTGAATACTGACAGTTACTTTGAAGCGCAGAAGTGCCCATTCATAATGAATCCCTTCCTTAAATAATAATTTTTTTTAAACGGTGCTTCTTATCCCCTTTAAGCTCCTTGTCATATAGGTATGCATTTCCCCCCCTGGATGACTTAAGCAGGACAAGAGGGTCAGTGATCTTGAAAAGTCTACCCTGAGCCAGGAGAAACTTGATCTACAGTGTACTATTGTAGTTTGTGCCCTTTAGGATACCCTTCTATAAAATGCATGGTTTTGATGCATAGTTGTGTTTTATCTTCTTGGAAAAAAACGTTTTTCATATGTCTGAAATATATCTTAACCATTCTGCATTTCTTCTTTTTTTAAAAGGTTACATTTTATGTAATTATAAGTACAACTAAAGTTAACGTTGATACGCGGGATTTGGACATTAATCTGAAACTGGAAACGTAAGATCCAAAACCAAATATCCTTCATCAATTTTCTAATGCTGAAATAGTTGTGAAGGCAACTCAGTGAAAATTGTTAATGGCTTTTTTGTAAACCTGAGTCCTGCGTTTCCTTTTTGTTGCAGAACAAGCAATCAAGTTAATTTGGATCCAATTATTGCTAGAGCTAAAGTAGTTATTGAACTGCTCTTGTCGCTGACAGGGTAAGCCTTTTATAGTTAGCATAACAAATCAATGCTCAAGACAGCCTGTTATGACAGTCATTAAAATGTGACGTTTCTTTCCAAACACAGGGTTGCAAAGCCATCCCAGGTGTATTTTGGAGGCAATGTTATTGGTGAAAGCGCTATGAAACATGAAGATGACATGGGGAGCTTGATAGAATATGACTTCCGAGTAAGCCTTTCTCTTAATTTCACATGTAATCATTTCAGAAGGCTAGTCTTGCCAAAAACAAAACAAAACCCCAAACCAAAGGAAAAACCCCAACAAAACCCAAAAACCCAACCTCAACCTGGTAACTAACCTTCATTCTGAATAAGGCAGCTGTTGCATTTTTGTTAGATGGCCTCTGTTCAAATTTGTGTTTTGTACACATAACGTGGACATAAATGTCTACATCTCTGTCCCACTGTGTATGCAGGGTACATGCTTGAAACAAAACTGAGACATGCTCGAAGAGTGGAGTTAAAAGAAATTGAGTAGCCAGGGTTTGGGGCATCCAAAAGGAGATAAATAAAAATCCATTCTGGACCCTGTGAAATTTATGGCCGTGTTCCTTGGATATATTCACAAAATTTCCATGATCGTTGAAGAACAACATGCTTCCATATGGACCAGTTAGTCAGTTAAGATCTTCATCTTTTGCCCCCTGGCTTCCTATCAGTTAAACATTAGGAAGAACTTCCTGACAGTTTGAGAGGTTCTTCAGTAGAACAGGCTTTCTCAGGTGGTGGTGGGCTCTCCTTCTTTGGAGGTTTTTAAGCAGACGCTAGACGACCATCAGAAAGCAATGTTCATTCTATGGAAAAATACCGAAATGGGTATCGCCATTGGAAGCATTCATCAAACCTTCCCTTATCAAGAAGTATGACAGAGAAAGCTATGAGGTATTGTTAGACCAAAAAAACAATCTAAAATCGAAAGAGACCCTCCTTTGTGCTCATGATATTGAGTTGATGTGGTGGGAGAACTTATAACTTCAATCTAGATTTAATAAAGATGTGTTAACGGGTTTCCAGTCTGTGACTTCAGCGATGGCGGAGGCTCTCCCCTGAAGCAGGGGTGTTGGAGGAGTGCCACCTCAAGTGGCACCCCCAGGTGAGCCTCAGGTTGAGAGGCTCCAAGCCGGGGGCACTTGAGGGGCGACGTCTTCGATGGCTCGAAGCCGGAGAATTGAGGCGCTCCTTTTGCCCCATTCGGTCCACCCCCTGTGAGGCTCGGTTTTTACCGAGCATAGCTGATGCCAGCCGGGACAAGCTAGAAGGTCAGCGAATGAAGCGTGACTAAGAGGTGTCTGCGATCAGACCGTCAATGAATCGGAGAACAAGTTGAGCGAAAAAGTTCTAAAAGTGAGTTCCGACCCCCCCCCTCTAGCGGTGCCGGGAGTGACTCCCAGACGTAAACAAACCGAACTGTGTTTCAAAGAGAGGGGGAGAGGAGAAATAAAAAGCACTCAAGTGTGCCAAAGACTTAGCTTATTTTCGCTGGTAAATTTGCACTTGCTGAAGAAGAGTGAAAAGGGCTCTCTTTAGTATAAATAAACTGAGTTTGATACTTCAAGGAAAAGATGATCTCACACACTAAAAGATGGCTGAGACTGTATAAATGGACAAATAACTTATAGAAACTAGACTCAAATGTATATATTGTTTATTATTAGTATTAATGCTTACTATGGAAAATCTATAAATAAAAGGTTAAAAAAGAAAGCAAGCAATGGTCATTCTGTGAACTTAGGCAAATCATTAGAGGGAATTAAGTTACCTTTGGCCATTTCGAATTAAAGAAGAAGAAGAAAAAAGAACTAAGAATTGTACAGGAGGGCGGAGCACTGTGGGAAGTCGAATTGGGGGGGGAAAGGGAGGAGGGTAGGATGGTTGATGCTAAATACTGGAAATTAGAAAACATCTCAACAAGAGAGGAGATAGCATTCAAGTTGTTAGAAATGGCAGAAATGGATAAACTGAGTTTGATACTTCAAGAAAAATATGATATCACACACACTAAAATATGGCTGAGACTGTATGGACAAATAACGTATAGAAACTAGACTCAAATGTATATATTGTTTATTATTGGTATTAATTCTTACTATGGAAAATCTATAAATAAAAGGTTAAAAAAAAGAAAGCAATGCTCATTCTGTGAACTTAGGCAAATCATGAGAGGGCGGGCGGGAGGGCTGCATCAATGCTTAGTTCTTGTGGCCCTTTCTTACATGTCCAGGGAAATGTCAATTGCCACTTTGGGGTCAGGAAGCAATTTTCTCCAGGCCAGTTTGGTCGGGGATCCTGGAGGGTTGGGTTTTTTTACAATCTTCTGGGCATGGAGCAGGCATCACTGGGGTGTGTGGGGGGGTGGTAGTTGTGAATTTCCTGCATTGTGCAGGGGGTTGGACTAGATGGCCCTGGAGATCCCTTCCAGCTCTATGATTCTATGACCCTCAAAGCTCTGAGGCTTACTGCCTTTTCTATTCTGATACCCGGCCACTATCATTTTTATCATTTAGACATAAAATGAGGCCCTTTCTATTTGCCTCTGCTTTTAGTAACGTTTAGTATTAACTGACGGCAAATCTGTTCCTTATTTATGGTCTTCCTATACTGCTGTCATTCTTTATTTCATTGACAGTGCAATGCGAAGCAGAGCTACACCCTTCCAAGTCTACTGAAGTCGGTGGGCTTAGAAGGGTATAAGTCTGCTCACAGTTGCACTGTTAATTACCTTATTGTTGTTGTTTTTTAATGGAGCCGAGCACTTTATTTGGAAAGGCAGGATATAAATGTATTAAGTGCATTAAATAATTAAATACATTGTTTTAATGGTTTTGAGAAGTTCTGAGGGGGTTGTTGTGGAAAGGCAAGATAGACATCTTAAGTGATCAAATATTTGAACTTTTGAGAAATGTCTTATTATCTGTTAGGGTGAAATGATGTACTATAGGTGAATAATGAAATCTGAACTCTTCTCCCCCCCCCCCACTCCCGGTACATGAGCCATCAGACAGCCATTGTGGAGTACTACAGTGGTTTAAGTCTTGGACCAGGGCCCGGGACAACCTGGATTAAATCACTGTTCTGTCATGGAAGTTCGTTTGGGCCTGTCGCAGTCTCTCAGCCTAACCGATCTCACAGGGTTGTTATTGTGAGGCAAGACTGGAGGAGGGGGAAAAGATGTGATACGCCACTTCGGGACCCAATTTGGGAGGAAAAACAAGATATATATTAAAAAATAAGCATCAGAAACCGTTAGTACAGGAAGAAGTATTTCAGTCACTGGTGTTCACTTAGTTTTTAGCTTATCATTAAAAAAACATAAACCCTTTGTTATTATGAAAAATGGAATCTGATTGACTAGGTATTTGGAGTAGTTTTTGTAATTTCATTGTAATACTATTTTGTCATGGTAGCCAAAAATTGACCAAAAACCAATATACATTTATAGAAATGTAAGAATTTATGTTTTGCTGCTACATTATTATCATTGCCAAAAAATAACTGCCTGTCAGTATGTAGCTATAAAGTCTACTTTATGAAGAGAGTAATTTTTTTATTATTCCTGACAGATAACTAACTTGGGCAAGCCGCTTAAAACATTCGGCACTGCTTCCTTGGATATCTCGTGGCCCAAAGAAATTAAGGGAGGCAAGTGGCTATTGTATTTGGTGTCAATAAACTCCAAAGAATTAGGAGAACTTCAATGTGAACCACGACAGGAAATAAACTCTTTAGGAATTAAGGTAAAGTAGTGTTCCCTGTCTTTATACTTTTGAATTATATTTGTTGACCCATTGATACAGCAAGATTTCCTTTTTAAAAAAGCAAGCCAGATGATAAGGCAAAAGTCAGAGTGGATTGCTTCTTGAATAGGGGCAGAACAACTGTAGTTTATATATGTGAGATTGCTGCATTTGTCAACAATTTATAATAAAAAATGCTATACTTACTCCAGAATTAGGTTACAGAATTCAGTATTTCCGCAGTCATGCTCTAAATACTCAATTCTTTAATTCTCTAACACCATTTTTTATTGTTTTCATTTGTTGTACATAATTTTATAGAGAGCTAGTTTGGTGTAGTGGTTAAGTGCGCGGACTCTAATCTGGGAGAGCTGGGTTTGATTCCCCACTCCTCCACTCGCACCTGGCTGGATGACCTTGGGCAAACCGTAGTTTTGATAAGAGCTTTTCTTGAAAAAGGAGCAGTTTCTGTCAGAGCTCTCTCAGCCCCACCTACCTCACAGGGTGCCTGTTGTGGGGAGGGGAAGGGAAAGGAGTTTGTAAGCCGCTCTGAGACACTTTTTGGGTAGTGAAGGGCGGGGTATAAATGCAATCTCTTCTCTTCTTCTTATAGACATCTAGAAGTTCAAGGAAGAAACGTGAAGTTGCAGAGAAGCAGACGGATAGTAGGTTTTCTTTGTTTTCAGAAAGAAAATACAAGACTTTGGTAAGCACCTACCATAGGCAATTGCCCTTTGCTTTGTGGTCTTTTAACTACCTTTATTTTAGAGACTAGTACAGAACTATGGATAACCAGGATAACATGAGTTTTACTCTTTTATTCTTTTGCAGATAAATGTTAAAATGCTTGATGATGGTTTATGCATAAAGGTTTTTTGATCTATATAATAAATTTAATGAATTGTTGATTAAGTTTATCCAGCCTTCATATTGAACATTTTGTTTAAAGCATCCTTCTAAAACTGTCTTTGAAATCTATTAAAATCCTGTGGATCCTTGAAGACTAATAATTTTATTGTAGCTTAAGCTTTTATTGATTCAGACCCCACTGTGTTTCACGCATGAGGTGTGATGAAGTGGCCTCAGATCTACAAACCGTAACAATGAATTGTTGGTCAATAGCTTTGTTTGGGGAAGGCCTGTGGCTCAGTAGTAGGGATTCTGCTTTACATGCAGAAGGTCCCAGGTTCAATCCCTGGCATCTCCAGTTAAAAGGATTGAACAGTAGGTGATGTGGAAGACCTCTCTGCCTGAGGCCCTGAAGAGAGCTGCTTCCCATTAGAGTAAACAGTACTTACTTTGATAGACCAAAGGTCAGACTCCGGGTAAGGCAGCTTAATATGTTCAGGTGTAAAAATTTTGGATGCTGTAAGAAGAAAGCCTGGAAAGAACTTTTGGCTTGTTTGTGCAGTCCTCCTAACCTGCTGTCAGCTATTTAAATACTTCCTGGTTTGTGGCAAGCCATGGGCTGCTATTGTATCTGAAATTATATCCTAATGTTTGCACTTTCCCTCCCAATCTAGGGTTGCCAGTCCCCAGGGGAGCAGGGGATCCCCTGATTTCTTCAGCTCATGCCTGCTGCCGGCCAGCTAGCCAGCAGGGGGAAACCTCGTCCCCAACAGCCACGAACCCGCGCCACGTCTCCAATGTGATGACATCATACGGAAGTGACGTCATCATGCTGGGGGATGTTCCACGGCGATGGTCTGGTTTTGGGGCAAAATTCTATCGTTTGAGCCCAGTCACGCTGGGGGATGTTCCACGGCGATGGTCTGGTTTTGGGGCAAAATCTATCGTTTGAGCCCAGTTTTGCCGTAGAGTTTGCCCCCAAAACACAGCATCACCACAAGACATCCCCAGCGTGATGACGTCCAAAAACCAGAGCGTCACCACAAGACATCCCCAGCGTGATGACATTTCTGCATGACATCATCATGTCAGGGACATTGCGCACGGCAACATTGCCCTGTCCCCCCACTCCTGGAAGGCTCCCCCCCACCTCCCGCCAGGGTGAGGTAAGGACCTGGCAACCCTATTCCGATCCGGATTTCAAACTGAGAACAAACTGCTATTTATGACTCTGCTTTGCACAATATATAGCAGGCCAGTTCAGATACCACAAACTACAAAGCATCTGACTCAAAGAGGGATTGTGTGAACAAGCAAACTCAAAACTCCTTCTAGGCCCATTCCGATAGTGCCTAAGCTGCAGGATGTTTAATTCTTTGTTTCTTTGCTACAAGAGACGCATACTGTTATCCCTCAGGAATATGTCTTTAAAGAGCAAAGCCAATGAAAGGGAAGCAGTGACATTTTGTTGAAATAAGTGCCAAGGCTTATATGATTTGCATTATTATATCCTAATTTTTATTTTTCTCTTGCCCAGTGGTTCTGGTGAAAGTTGGATCTGAATCCTTCACCCCATTAGTAGCTTAGCAGTTAATAAAATTATACAGTTTCTGCAGTGTTCTTTGGGGCTTTCTCAAGGCTATAGAAGTTGGCGAATAAACACATTTTGTCAATCTGCTTTGAAATATGTATTTTTAAGCTCTTTATGTATTCAATGCAGGATTGTAATAATGGCGAGGCAAACTGTGTCGTCATAAGCTGTCCCTTGCAAGATCTGGACAGTAAGGCATCTGTCGTGTTGCGCTCAAGACTGTGGAACAGCACTTTCCTAGAGGTATCTTCCATGAACGTATTCTGTTACAGGTTTGCGTCAGCTCTTTTTATTGGTTCTAATATTAAACGTATCTTTTGTTTTTTCTCACCTCGCACCAGGAATATTCTAAACTCAACTATGTAGATGTTCTCCTTAAAGCTAAAATAAACATTGCTGCTTCTGCAGATAATATTAAGCTACTAAATGAAGCTACTCAGGTAAGTCTGCCATGTTTATTTTTATGATATTCACAGCTGATGATACACAGTGGAAGCTACATCCTTGTAGGAAATGAACAGAGTCCATGTAGCTAGGAATTTGCTAGCACCGAGTTTCTGATTCTGTTCAGCCTCCAAATGTTCATGTGCCAGTTGCTACACTAGGCCTTATTTCCTAAATGTGTTTTCAAATATCTGCTTTTTGAATGCTGCTGCTGCGAACTGATAGAAACATTTTAGATCAGAGGTTCTCAGACTTCAATAACCGCAATACATCCATTTTGATTTAAACTGTTTTGCCCACCCAAGTCTCCTCCTCCTTCCTCACGAGCACCCACCACTCACTCAACAGCTCCATTCAAAGTTCATATGGCAAACTTTATGTCCCATGCCCATCTCCATCCTCTCACATTCTCAGAGCAATACTGCAAGAACTGTATTGGCTATATTTTAAAATGAAATTTAGGTAAAAAATATTTCTACCACCTGTGCTTGGCCTACCAGGTAGGGTTGCCAACCTCTAGGTGGGGCCTTGAAATCTCCCAGAATTATGACTGATCTTCAGACTTCAGAGGTCAGTTCCCCTGGAGGAAATGGCAGCCAACCCTGGAGGGGTGGACTGCATGGCATTATACCCTGCTGAGGTCCCTACCCACCCAAACCTCACCCTCCTCAGGCTCCAACCCCAAATCTCCAGGAATTTCCCAACCTGGAGCTGGCAACCCTACTGCCAGGTCAGGCCTCATATGATAACTGATTCTATAGGGGCCACAACTCAAAAGGCCCTGACGTAATATCTGATCAACTTTGCCCCTTGATTGGAAGGGACTCTACACTGCACACAGTAGGGATCTTCTTTATTAGTTAATAACTTCTAGAGGGCAGCTGAGCAGGGCTGGGTAGGAGTCTGGTCAGAGGGCAGCTGAGCAGGGCTGGGTAGGGGTCTGGTAAATTTTTCAGAGCTACTCTAAGAAATAAACAAAAATCTTTCAGTATTTATTTGAAAAACAACCATTGGCTATTACTGTCTGTGGACGCAGAGTTGTGTCTCTCTGCAAAACAGAATGAAAACTGGTTCAATTTTATACCGGAAGTAACTTATGATGACTGCATTACGACTCTACCACCTTTGTGCCAGTCAGCTAATTTAAAATACACAGAGAGCCATGACCATTTCACACCTCAGGTCCTCTCTCTCACTCCCAGAGATATCCACAGACAGGGTAGCCCAGCACCCTTTAATAACAAGCCCCCACTCACAGAGTTATTGCAGTTGGGGCTCAGACATTTCCATTCACACACTGCCACCATTTATTCATATCCTACGATAAATATATAGACAAAGATATTAAAATGTGTGTGTGTGTTTCTTCCCTTAGACCCATAGGGTTAAACAAAAACACGAAGTTAACTTTTATTTAACATAACACTAAAGAAAGTAAGGTACAAGTTACAAAGCCTGGCTTCCACTGAACTTTTGAACTGTGGTCCTATTCCCTCAACTTGGGATCACTTGGTTACAATTTTACTATATTCATCCTGCTCTAAGCAGCTCATCTGCCCAGTTTCCCTCAGTCAGATATCTTCCTTTTCCCCTCTCAACTCCCCAGCTGCCAACTCCCAACTGCTCTTCTTAACTGCTGTTTTCCAACTGCCTCTTCCCAGCCTTCCATCAGCTGTTACTGGTCACTCTTTGGGAGAGGCGGAACCTAGCCTGTCCGTCACAGTATGGTTCCTGGAATCTCAATGGTCTTCAAAAGGAATGAAACTAGGATATGTTACCTGCGCACACTGAAGCTGTCTCTTCCCCCCTTCTCTTTCAGGTACGGGTCACTGTCTTTCCTGCAAAGACAGTAGCATTGTATAAAGGGGTGCCTTGGTGGATCATCTTAGTAGCCATTCTTGCAGGATTGTTAATGCTTGCTCTGTTGGTATTCTTACTATGGAAGGTGAGTTACTTTACTGATCTGCTGTCTAATATTTGCTCACATGTTACTTAAAATGTGCACACAAACTTAAAACTTTTGAATGTTTTTACATATCGGAAAGGGACATAATCAGTGGTGGCATAAATAAATGGTTAAGATGTTTTTATTTCAATCTAATGAATTACATTAATTTTGAATGCGACATTATTTGGGCTTAAAGATATATGGAATTTTTAAATTAATGTGCATTTTTGGGAGAAACTCTGGGTAATGCTGTTTGAATATACAAATATTTTTAACAGACAATCTAGTGCAGAACAACCGTCAGCACTGGGGATATATATGTTCACATGTCTACAAATAGAATAGAGATATGTACAGAATAGAGATATGTACAAGCAGGGGACCTGCAGGAACGTTCAGGGGGATCTCAGTTTGCCCTCTCCCACTATATCATCTTCTCCTGCTTTCTTCTTTCCTCCCCACCTAACTCCCCTCTGTCTTCAGCAGTCCCTCCTCCCTTTCCCTGGCAACCTCTACTCAGGAAAACCATAGCTGAGTTGCACAGTGCCAGCCACTGGTCTGGGGCCAAGCTGGGCCTAGTTTAGGGTTGCCAGTCCCCAGGTCCCGGTGGGGGTTCCCCCAGTTTTCAGGACTTCTGTTTGCTGCTGGCCAGATGGCTGGCAGGGGAAACCTCACCCCCCCAACACCGATGTCACTGTGCAATGTCCCCAAAACAATGACATCACCCAGAAGTGACATCATCATGTCGGGGCGTCGCATGGTGACACTCTGGTTTGAGAGCAAAACTATGGTTTGAAACCGCCGGTGCGATGAGGGGACCTGGCTACCCTAGCATAGTTGAATAGTGAAGAACCCACAAGGACTTGTGAGGGGCACCTCACATTCCCCTGCATCCCCCCTCCCCATTTCCTCATTCCCCCCTGGTAGCCCCCATATTTTCAGCTTTCTTTGCTTCCTTCTCTTTCCCACCCATCAAGCAACCAACCTTTTTTCTGCCCCCCATCTTCAGCTACATTTATTTATTTAATTTATACCACACCTTTCTCCACAATGGGGACCCAAAGCAGCTTACATATTTCTTCAATGTTCCATTCTATCCTCACAACCCTGTAAAATTGGTCAGACTGAGTGTATAATTGGCCTAAGATCATCAGAAAGCTTCCATGTCTAGTAGGGATCTGAATCTGGGTCTCTCAGATCCCAGTCTGAAACTGTAATCACTATACCACACTGGTTTTCATGGGGTAACTGCTGTCAATATCAAGCCGCCTGTCCTGGGTGACTCATGCAAGTCAGGTGGCATCAAATTTCCTAGTGGTTGCTGCCAGAACTGGCCCAATAAGGCCTCCCTCAAAAACCAAAACAGCCCCGGAAAGGGTCCTGCACCCTCACGCTCCGTTTCACGGACTAGGGCTGCCAAATGCCCCCGGGGGGCGGAATTCCCCCTGCTTTTGAGCCCCGATTTCCGCTCCCGTGGAATCGGGGCCCGGGGGAAACCCCACCCCAGCGTGCGACGTCACTTCCGGGTGGCGCGCACGTGGCGCGCACGCCCAGGACGCCGGCCGGGAGCCTCCCACTCCCGGCCAAAAACCATTTGGCAACCCTATCACGGACAGAAACTAAGACTTGAAGGCTGGCAATCCTGTTGTGGCTGCCTAGTACCTCCCACAGTGGCCAGTGAAAGGGCATATATTTCTTAAAGCTACAGGCGCTGCTTCTATTATTTTACGGTATTTAACCCTGCCCTAGTATTTTTTTTCTCCAGATTTCAGATTTTTCTGCAAACTTGGGGCTTTTTTCAGATTTATAGAATGATCTGTCTTGTCTAAGTATCCACAGATGAGGTCATGTTGAGAATTAGATATGTTGATGTATATAAAGATGCTATAACCTGTACTGAAGGGTTCCAGTAATTTTTTTACTGATTTTGTTACATTGCCTAAAACTATCACAGATACAACTGTTTCTTCATACACTAGAACAATACATGTCTATGGGAGGACTGTTGTAGTGGTCAACAGAGTTTGTTCTCTTTCTCCCTGCCCTCACCTTGGTGCACATGCTAAGATGTGTGCAGAAACAGAGCACTGGGACATTACAGGGGATGGAAGGTATTTTGATGTGCCTACCATGTCTTTGAAACATCTTCGGACAGCGCTGGCTCTTCGGCTTTGAAACGGAGATGAGCACCGCAACCCTAGAGTCGGATTCGACTGGCTTTCGAGCAAGGGAACCTTTACCTTTACCTTTACCATGTCTTTAACCCAGCTGCCCTGACAGTGCTGTTCAAGTTACCTGAGATCTGGGTCTTTGGCTGCTTGCAAGAATTGGGTCTTTTCCACACCATGTTTTTGAAGCAGCTCAGCTTCTTAACTGCATTGGGTTTCCTCCTACCTTACAGATAGAATGGTTTGTTGGTTGTTGTTGTCCCTTATTTTTCTTGAGTTATTCCTGTGTTTCTTTCTGACCACCTGAAAGGTGGGTTGAAAAAAACACAGAAAAGAGCTGAAGAAAAACTGGGAGAGCAGCGACCCACAGACATTGCTAAGGGATGGGGAAAAGTGATGGAGTTACAAAGCTGAGCGGCAACAATGGTGTGGAAAAGCCAAGGGTTCTGTTGAATTCCTCAGGGATTCTTCAGTGCACAGGCATTCGCTTTTTACTCTGAATCAAAACTAAATTTATTCACACGATGCCTTGGAACTCTCTTTTTATAACACCAAGCTTCAATTCTGAAGACAAGCAAGTCTGAGCACTATTACTAGAGAAAGGAAGCATGATTTCAGGGCATTAAACATGCTGGCTCTCTAAATAATGAGTATTATTATTCTGGTGATATTTAATCTATCATGAAGAAAGCAGTCGACAAGGTTTGACAGGCTGTGAAGAATTCTACTGCAGAATATATGTCGAGATGTGATTGTGAAGCTGTAGCAAGATCAGGTGCCTATTTTAAAATGCACATGCAAATAAACTTGGTTCGTCCTCTTCTTTTTGTTTTTCATATTAGTCCATAAAATTGACTAAATGCCTTGCTTCCTTATAGTGTGGTTTCTTCAAGAGAGATAAGAAAGATCATTATGATGCCACATATCACAAGGCTGAGATCCATGCTCAGCCATCTGATAAAGAGAGGCTTACTTCTGATGCATAGTATTGATCTACTTCTGTAATTGGTAATTGATTGATTTTTTTTTTGAAAAACATTTTTAGCTGCGGGACTTGCTTTGGTTGTAGTGGCTAATGACTGGAAGCTTGCTGCATCTGTTCCATTAATTGCCTCGTTTCAAAATGTCAATTTTTTGCTTGCTTACATTTATAATAACCCCCTTTCTCTGTGCACGAGGATGCAAAATCCTTTTGTCATTTTTTTTAACAGCTGTTTACTGGTGCATTCTTTCTTGAAATTTTGAAGACTTCATCTCAGAGTTGGAATGTTTCTCCCAAGCTCACAATCCCAAAGACAAAATGTGCTCTGTGGCCTATTTATTTTGCTAATAAGAAGGAAAAGGACCCTGTGTTAAGCTATGTTAGCCGTTTTCAAACACTGTCCCAGTGAACTCTAGGTTCCCTGGAAGTTTTCCAGGGTACTTTCAATAATAAATGACTTATTTTCCTGAAATAACAGCTTCCCTACAGTTGCCAATCTTCTCTTGCAAGGGGGAAGTGGGTGTCTCATATCCTGCGCCCTCAGATACCATGACTGGACAGGGAGTCCCATGTGAACTGAGTGTGCATGACCCTGAATCCTTTATAATGCAGAAGAAAACTGTAGCAGACACTGAGAGATTTCATAGCAAATACACTGATGTAGGAAACATTCTCTGAAGGGAGAAACTATTTAAAAACACTGAGCTAAGCCACCTTAAGTGTGAAACGTCAGTTCTTTCCTTGGAAGTTAGAATGTTTTGATACTTGAAGCTTAAATGGCCTTTGAGTGTCTCTTGTTTGTGCCAGTTTGGTGTAGTGGTTAAGTGTGCTGACTCTAATCTGGGAGAACCGGGTTTGATTCCCCACTCCTCCACTTGCACCTGCTGATGTGACCTTGGGCCAGTCACAAGCTCTGGCACAGCTGTCCTTGAAAAAGAGCACTTTGTGTCAGAGTTCTCCCAGCCCCACCCACCTCACAGGGTGTCTGTTGTGGGGAGGGGAAGGGGAAGGAGTTTGTAAGCCGCTCTGAGACTCCAAGTGAAGGGCGGGGTATAAATCCAATCTCCTCTTCTTCTTCATGTGCATTTTACTTGAGTGCCATATTGGTGTTATTATCATAGAGAAAGCAGAAGAGAGGTATAAGAATATGAATGAGCATTCTGGCCAACAGTAGTTTTTGCTTTTGCATTAGAAACTGAAGTGAAAACCCCTTGAAGCCTCATGTATGAAAAGGCCTTCTCCGTCATTGATTTCAGTAGAACTTAACTTTTCTCATACATATAGACCAGCCAGCCCTCAGGTCTGGGTGGGGGATCCCCTGATTTCAGGGGCTTCTCCCCGCTGTGGACCAGCTGGCTGGCAGGCAGGGGAAACCCCACCACTAAACAGAGTCGTCACCGCACAACGTCCCCAACATAATGATGTCACCTGAAAGTGACACCATTGTGTTAGGGACATAATGCAGGGACACTTTGGTATTTGGGGAAACTCTATGGTTTGAGGGCAATACCCCCACAGTTTCACCCAAATACCCCCACATGATGTCCCGGACGCGATGATGCCATTCCTAGGTGACATCATTGATTCAGGGATGTCACACAATGTCCCCCCCCCACATCCCCCCACTGGAGTGATGAGGGGACCTAGCAACTCTACATACATACACTTTAAGGTTGCAGCCTCGCCACTTTTTAATACAGGCAACAAATCTAACAGTGGAAAATCAATTTAAGCCTATTTATAGGATCTCCCAAAACTAAGAAAGAAGTATTATTTGCCACTATTAAATTACTATTTTACCATTCTAACTACATAGTGGCCACAATCCCTGGCCCAGGTGTGCATTCCACAGCCACTAAATCAAAGTGAGATTTGCAGTGGATTTCAGAAGGGCGAGAGCTATACATGGTACAAATCTTAAGCTGTATTTTTTTCACTTATACTAGCAGATGCTCTATGCTCAGAAGTTATATATAGCTTTATTAACTGCTAATGCATGCTAAAAGCTTTGACATGCTTTCACTGCCTTGTTCAATGAGGCCATTCTGGATTCTCAGTTTCTTTGGGAAAGTTACTGGTAAATTTTGCAATTTAAGATTGTTCTGTACTTAAGTATGCATTTCTCTTAAGCCTGCCTACTGCATGTACACTTGGTGCTTTCGCAGACCTGAATCATATATGTAAACGTGCGTTATGCTTTCGGAACTATCAGGATGATCCAAGTCCCACATTTATCTCCTTACTTAGTGTTATATCAGAAGAGGCTAAACATTTAAATAAAGGAAAATGAGCCATTCCTCATATATATCCCAGGATACTGGTCTCTGTTGAATACTACAACCCCAGAGAATACTATATAAATCTCCTCTCCTCCATTCTGTCCTCACAAAACCCTGTGATGGAGGTTAGGCTGAGAGTCTGTGACTGGCCCAAAGTCACCCATGCAGCTTCCATAGCAGATTGGGTCTCTCGGTCCCTAACCCAGCACTCCACCATTATATCACACTGTCCTCATTTGTGAGAGCTTGCCTATGTGGCCTGTATTCATGATAAAGAAGGTTGTTAACATACGGCTAACAACCTCATTCCCTTTTTTTTTTTGGCTGTCAAATTACAGCTGATTTATGGTGACCCTGTGGGGTTTTCAAGGCAAGAGACTAACAGAGGTGGTTTGCCATTGCCTGCCTCTGCCTCACAACCCTGGTATTCCTAAGTGGTCTCCCATCCAAATACTAGCCAGAGCCAACCCCGATTAGCTTCTGAGATCTGACGCGATCAGGCTAGCCTGGGCTATCCAGTACAGAGGAGGAAATACCATGTTGGCTCAAAAACAGTTCTTTTGTAAAACAGATGTGAGATTAATGGAGGCGTTTACATGCTTGGATTGCGCTTTCTGCTGTTGCTTTCTGCTGTTATATCCTTTAGGGTGCCTTAATTTACAACTGGTCTCTGGAAGACAATCGGTTATATATATATATGTGCCAAGGGCATTGTCTATGGTTCTTATAATGTACCTGCTGTGACAGTTTGCATTCTTTTCTCTCCATAGTGTGGGTTCTTCCAGCGTTCTAGGTACGATGCCAGCATTCCCCGATACCATGCTGTAAGAATTCGGAAAGAGGAGAGGCAGATCAAAGATGGAAAAACTAAACAGAATCATGCAAAAAAGCAATGGGTCACAAAATGGAATGAAAATGAAAGTTATTCCTGAGGATTCCCCCTGTACTGAAGGCTTAAATGGTTTAAAATGTCTTTGATTCACACGACGGATGAAGAAATACATACAGCAAAAGCTGCCTTTGGTTGATATTGTCAGCTTATGTCAAAGCCTTTTGTTTTACAGATCTAGTTTTAAAGACTAAAAGTAACTTTGTATGCATTATTTAAATCTTCCAGTCTTAAAAGAAAACTAAAAGACTATATTTTTCACCAGTCTTTTGAGCTAGAAAGCAAGCTTGCACAAGCTTTTTCGTTTTTTTCAGTTAGCGTACAATGTGCATAGAGAACTGGGAGTTTGAATTATGAGCAGAAGGGTGGAGCTTCTCTAATCAGCGAAAAGAGAATTAAAAGAGAATTTCTGTATGGTGTGTGTTTTGTTTCTCCAGACTAATTTTCAGTTCAGATTTGAACCAGGGGTCAGGAAGGCTCCTGCAAAGAGTTGGGCTATGATTTAGACTGCCTTGCCGCTGTTTGGAACGTTGCCAGACATGCCCATCCCATTTAGTGGGTCTATTGTCGTCCCCCTAACACACACGCACCAGTTTTTGTAGCTCAAATGCTTGCCGTCTATTGGTTGCTTGTCAGGCTTCTCCCCCTTCCTGCAAAGGCAAATGCAAAAAATGCCTCCTGGGGCTGGGAGAAGACATCCCAACTGAGAGCCCATCACCTGCGCCTGGGAAGGGCCGTAGCTCAAACAGAAATAAAAGGGAATGAAGTCATTTTGTGGCTCATTCAGTCTCTTTTCCCTCCTTGCCTGAGTTTGAACTGCATAGAGGCCTTGCCTCAGCCTTTTGGACTTTGGTCTCGTCTAGAGCTGTGTACTTCTGCAGCTGGACCCCTACACCTCCACCTGAATGAAAGACGCTAATAATATTTTCCTAATGAAGACTGTTCTGCTGTTCACTTCATTAATGCTTGTTATTTAAGTGGGCGTATTCAGGAGGGAAAACTCCGCTTGTATTGAGTGTCGCTTGTTTATTGGGAGCAATAGCACGCCAGACTACTCCAAAGTTCTAGAAAAAAAATACCTGAAGTGGAAGATGGTGTAATTTCTTCCCCTTGCCCAGGTTCAGACAGTGATCCTGCCTGTATTTCTCACTGGTGGCAGGCAGGGCACCAACTCTGGTGCTTGCTTTTTTTGTCGTCTGCTTGAGAGACAGTGAAATTCCTAACATGAAAAATATGGCTTCTCAAAGCTACTGATATCATGCTAAGTTAGCAGACTTGGAAAACGTTCTCTCTAATCCCAGACATGTGGAAGCTAATTACTCAGTTATAAAGAGGTACTCTGCATATGGTCAGAAGTTATTACGTCACCTTTCTTTGACCCGAGACATGGTATTGAAATGCTGAGCTCTGGTGAGCCCTGGATAAAATTAAACACTGGGTTGGGTCTTGCCTTAAATTTCCATCAATGCAAACTTCCCTGCCTCCCCCATATTAAGCCTAAAATGCCCCCCCGAAATACTGCTCCTGTGAGGACCCCAGGAATAGTTGAGTGGGGGAGCTGGAGATCCGCCACAGGAAGAGGGAATTGGCAACAATCATTCCCCGTGCATGCAGAAATTTTAGGCGGGATCCAACCTGTTTATCTCTGTCCACATAACTAAAACTGATCCTTTCAATTTTAGTGATGAATTTTAGAAATAAGTGGTTTGGATTTTAAGGGGTTAATTAAAAAAATCCCACCCACATGCAACTAGTTCACTGATGTTTTAAATGCTTTTATTTTTTGCTTTGTCTTTTGTCAGTGGACATGTATGTATTCACCTAGAAGTACAAGGGCTTATGAACTTATGCCATATGGCATGGCTTAATTTCAAAACGCAAAGGAAGTGCTGGGGCTCAGCTTTGGAAGTCATACTCATGCCTTAAAACATGGAAGCCATTTTCCCTGTCTATAGGTATGTACAGAACAGCTAGTGTTTCTTAGTGGAGTGATCGAGGGCCAAACTAGATGATACCGTGCCCCCAAGTCCACCAGAGACGTGGTGCTATTTAGAGTTGTTTTTTAAAGTTTAAACATACTATAAAATGTCACTATGTCCCCGTGGTGGACTTGAGGATGGGGTATCATCTAGTTTAGACCTGAGGCACTCTCTGAATATTTAAAGACAGTCCTTCAAGTGTTGTACCAGTCCTTTGTTCACTGTGGGTTTGGCATTCCCGCCCCCCCGTAAACTTGGAATTTGTAGATCTGTTGATTGCTTGTTCCAAGACTCTTGCGTAGCCATGGTAGTTAGGGAAAGCATGATATTAAATGTGCAATAGGTCATGTTTTGATGTTCTTTGTAAAATCAATTTGTGTGAATCTGTTGCTGTTGCCAAATATACGCAGGTTTTTTAAAAGCTTGAATATTGGTTGTACTTTGTATATACTGTAAGTCATTCTTATATATTTATTTTTACTATGAATCTTTGTCTTTGACTCACTGTTAAGCCAAAGATTTTTAACTGAACCCTAAAACTAGTGAACAATAGCATATAATAGTTCATTGATTAAAACCAAACACTTTTCACCATATGTGCCAATACTTTGGATTTCAGTGACTGAGACATTCTTGGAAAACTCTTTACATAGTTTTGATTATGTAGTATGGAAGTATTGGATCTTCTGAATAATTTGTGCACTAATGCATACCTACAGATGTTTTATCTATAGAAGTTTTATATGACTAACTTAATGGAAAATATGGCAGGTGCTTCTTGGGGGTGAGGTGGGGGAAAATTTTCTAGTTCTGAATCTGGAGCAAGATCATCTACTGCAAATGTTACAGCACTTGAACCAAAACACAAGCTCCGAACTATGGATCTATAATGGTCCAATGTAAGACTACTGAATGTTTTAAATACTGACATTTTAATTAAGAATAGTTCTGTACCCTTGTGTGTTTGATAATACTTGTGATTGTAACAGAGGTATTTGCAATTTTTAAAAGCTACATCTTAAAATATTGGTACTGGTTAAATAAAGAGTGCTGGTATTTACTGTATTTGAAAAGCAAATCTTTAGTATGTGATGTTTGAGAAGGGATAAAAGCTATGCAAAACATTATTATGCAACACCAAATGCTGTATACAAGTCACATTTTTAAAAAACCAGTTTTTGAGTGACTGCTGCTCTTTCTAAGTTAAAGAAGAATTTGGTTTCTAATTGCCAATTTTTAACTTTTTAGAGTTGTTCCAAGTAACTTTTTGATCACACAATTTGTAAGTTTGACAAAAATAAAAAAGTTATTTTTATTATTGAGTGTACAAACATTCTCTTACCAAGTTTCAGTAATGATTCTGGTGCCTCACAGTAGAATCCTAAGCAGAATCACATCCTTCTGAGTCCATTAAAGTCAATTGACTTAAAATGGTGTAACTCTCTTTAGGATTGCTCTATGACTGTTATCCACCGAGCACTGCTACCAACTCACCTGTCATTTGTGGGGCCTGCACAAAAGCCCCAAAAGCAGCATGTTTGGTGGACAGCATCCTTCTCAATTCCACCTGTGTGTATGTGTGTGTGGTTGGATTACTTACCCTGAAAAGGTATACTTTTGAAACACTACTGTTTTATTTTCATGACATCTTAAGTTGATTCTAGTGGCTTGTAAAGAGCAAATACCTAGGCAGTGTTAAATATCATTTCAAGTCACATCACTGGTGTATATATATATATATCTCCATCTTGTACACTGACTGTTACTAACATCTAATGTTAAGTCATGGCTAGAAATTACCTGTGGATATTTGTATAAAAGTGTGAAATAAATTTTGTATGAAAAACTCTTTCTGGTGCTGCTGGTATTTGCATACTACTTTCATGTGTTTAATTTCTGTAAATATGAAATACTTGATTTGTATTTGATTGGGTCCACTTCATTCATTACACACAGAATATATGATGAATTCAGTTAGCTAGTTGTGACTAAGTTTGATGGGGTTTGATCGAAAGGTGCCATTTAAACAGTGTTAACAGCAGTTACACTGATGGAACAGAACTTCCAAGGGGACAGTGATTTCTACTTTGCCCCCTAAACTGTTTCTGAGACACACACCCCTTGACCTCAAAACAAAATTTCAGGTAACTGAGGAGTGGGGAGGCAGGGAGGTCATTTTCAGACAGTTTCAATCCATTGGCAGTAGTTTGGAGTCGGTCAGTTCAAAACAACAGAACTAGATTTTAGTCACTAACTGAGCTGCTTGTTATAGTGGTACCTGCTTCTGAGTACACATGGATACAATTAGCCTGCAAGACCACCGAGGTCAATTTGATTTTCTCTCCCTGGCCTGATCTGTGCACAGGAGGGAAATAAAGCTGTACTTCAGATGGTAGGTAAAGGATCATACATAGGCATTGTTGTTCAGTCGCACAGTCGAGTTTGACTCTTCGCGACCCCATAGACCAGCTCCCGCCAGGCCCTCCTGTCTTCCGCTGTCCTCTGAAGTTGGCTCAATTTCATGTTCGTTGCATCGATGACACTGTCTAACCATCTCATCCTTTGCCGTCCCCGTCTTCTTTGACCTTCAATCTTTCCCAGCATCAGGGTCTTCTCCAGTGAGTGCTCCCTTCTCATTTGGTGGCCAAAGTGTTTGAGCTTCAGTTTCATTATCTGGCCTTCCAGGGAACAGTCAGGGTTGATTTCTTTTAGGATTGACTGATTTGATCTTGCAGTCCAAGGGACTCTCAAGAGTCTTCTCCAGCACCATAGTTCAAAAGAATCTATTCTATTCTTCAGCGCTCGGCCTTCCTTATAGTCCAACTCTCAAGGAGATTGTAAGCCGCTCTGAGACTCCCAAGTGAAGGGTGGGGTATAAATCCAATCTCTTCTTCTAGGTGGGGCTGAGAAAGTTCTCAGAGAACAATGACTAGCCCAAGATCACCCAGCACGTTTCACATGGTGGAGTGGGGGACGAAACCTGGTTTTCTAGATTGGAGTCCACCAGTCTTAACCCCTACACCATACTGACTTCAGTAGCAGACTCTCTCTGCTGTTCTAGTTTGCTATTTTCAGATAATTTTTTCCCTGTACTAGAATCCACCACCTGCAGCCTGCAGTTGTACTGTCCATTTAACTACAGCTGAATATTTCACAGGTATGTCATGAGGACAACAGAAAAGATGTGTACTGCTCTGAGCTCCTTGGAGGATGGGTGGGAAAAACTGAGAAATGACTGTACATCAAGTATTATTTTCCAATTCTATAATCTTAGTCTTATTGCATTGTTCACTGATTGTCTTATGGTGTCTGCATTGCTTTATTTTTTGTAATCCACCTTGAGTCTCAGTGAGAAAGGCATACTGTAAATAAAGAATGGGACGGTGGTATGCAGGAGGATATAAGTAAAGAGGTTGTTCATAAGTATCTGGATGCTTTGTATAAGTCCCCTAGACCGAATGGTGTCTACACTAGAATGCTTAAAGAACTAGCTGGGGTGTTGGCAGAGCCATTATCCATTATTTTCAAGGCCTCTTGGAGGACAGATGATTGTAGAAGGGTGAATGTTGTCCCAATTTTTAAAAAGGGGAGGAAGGATGATCCGGGGAATGATAGGCGAGTAAATTTAACCTCTGTCCCAGGAAGAACCTTGTAGCAGATTTTAAAAGGGCTGAACGTGGTGATAAGAAGCAGTAAGCATAGATGTATCCATAACGGCTTCTGTCAGACTAATCTAATTTCCTTTTTGATTGACAGGTTTCGTAGATCACCATGGGGATGCCATAAATATTGTCTATTTGGATTTTAGTAAGATGTCTGATAAGGCTCCCCATGATGTTTTGACGGGCAAGGTGGAAGACTGTAGATTAGATATATAACGAATTGGTTGGATAATTGCACCCATAGAAGGGTAGTTAATGGCTCCTTGTCTGATTGTATGGTAGTGCCTAGCCACAGGGCTTGGTTTTGGGTCAAATACTTTTTAATGTTTTCAAGATCCAAGGGTGGGAATGGGCTACTCATTAAATTTGCTGATGACAGCAAATCGGGTGGGGTAGCGAACACTCTGGAAGACAGAGATCTAATACAATCAGAATTGGATACATTGAAAAAATGGGCAGATGTGAACTAGATTCAGTTTAATAGAGATAAATGTAAGGTTTTGCATCTGGGTAGTAAAATAGTTATGCGCACATACCAGATGGGCGATACTCTTGTGCATAGTAGTGTGTGAACAAGATCTTGGGGGTTTGGGTAAACTGCAAATTGAGTACTACTGAATAGCCAGTGTGATGAGGCAACAAAGAAGGCAAACACAATCTTGGGGTATATCAACAGATGCAGTATCTAGGACATGAGCTATGATAGTACCACTATACTGTCCTAGTCAGATCCTATTTGGAGTGTTGTATCCAGTTCTGAGGCCTTTTTAGGAGGACACAGAAACATTAGCGCTATATATGCTACAAGCCTATACACATTTATTAGGAGCAAGCTTCCTTGAATACAGGGGGACTTCTGAGTAAACTTGTCCAGGATCGGGCTATGTATCAATCATTGGTAAAGGGATGTGTCAGCACAAGACAATACAAGTGATACAGCAGCATTGTGAAATACAGAGTTAATACACTGAAGAAAGTCAACGTGAGAAGGGGAAGCATTCTATTTCATTGTTGACAATACCAGGAGTATACAGTAGGGTCATTCTACTCACAGCCACTTAGTGTAGCGAATGAAAACAGTCAGCCAGTATTCACATGGAGGGGGGACCTTGTATTCTCTTGAATTAACACTGTGATTCATTATGAAAGTCATCAAACAGATACTGACACAAAGTAGGAGTCCTGTGGCACCATAAAGCCTATCAAAATTTTATCCTAGCCTAAGCTTTTCATGGATTAGTAATACAGATGCAACAAGTGAGAAAGGTTTTCGGGGATACATTTAAACAAGACTACTATTATAAAAGAGCTGCGGTGGCTTAAGTGGTTAAGACGCTGAACTGCAGGCTGTGGAAGGTCAGTAGTTCAGCAGTTCGAGACCCGGGTGCCGCAAGACGGGGTGAGCTCCTGTCTCTAGTTCCAGCTCCTGCCAACCTAGCCGTTCGAAAGCAAGAAATTGCAAGTAGATAAATAGGTACCACTTCGGTGGGAAGGTAACAGCGTTCCGTGCGCCTTGGTGTTTAGTCATGCCGGCCACATGACCACGGAAACGTCTTCGGACAGCGCTGGCTCTTCGGCTTGGAAACGGAGATGAGCACCGCAACCCTAGAGTCGGATTCGACTGCCTTTCGAGCAAGGGGAACCTTTACTATTATAAAAGAAAGGTGGCAGTCCTTTCCCAGTTTACAATCGTCAAGAAACTCTTCACGTCCATGTGTTGAAAGCTGTAGAACAAAGGCTTCTCTGATGCCAATCGGACCCCAAAATTTAGCAGATCAGAATGAGAAGAGGGGCCTAACCTGGATAGCCCATGCTATCCTGATCTCACCAGATCTTATTTTATTATTGGATTTATATCTCACCTTCCCCACAAGTAGACTCAGGGCAGGTCAAAGCAGTTAAAATGGAACATAACAATAAATACAATTCATGCAGAGTCAAAAACTTTTAAAACCAACAGATAGCAAAAGACTTGATTTCTTGGAAGGTAACAAGGCCTGGCCCTGGTCAGTATTTGGATGGGAGACCACCAAGGAAGACCAGGGTTGCTACGTGGAGGAAGGCAATGACAAACCACCTCTGAATGTCTCTTCCATTGAGCACCCTACAGGGTTGCACTAGGTTGGCTGTGACTTGACAGCAAAAAGGGAGAGAGGGAGAGAGAGGAGATGAGACAGTCACACTTGCATTGCGCAGAAAGCTGCCTTATACTGACTCAGACCAATCAGTATTGTCTACTTTGACTGGCAGCAGCTCTCCAGGGTTGCAGACAGAGTGTTTCTCATCACCTGATCCTTTTCACTGGAGATGCCGGGGACTAAATTTGGGGAGTTGCATGGAAAGGAGCATGGTCAAAGCAATGGTATTCCCAGTAGTCATGTATGGCTGCGAGAGCTAGACTATAAGGAAGGCCGAGCGCCGAAGAATAGATTCTTTTGAACGATGGTGCTGGAGAAGACTCTTGAGAGTCCCTTGGACTGCAAGAACAACAAATCAGTCAATCCTAAAAGAAATCAACCCTGACTGTTCCCTGGAAGGCCAGATCCTGAAGCTGAAGCTCAAATACTTTGGCCACCAAACGAGAAGGGAGCACTCACTGGAGAAGACCCTGATGCTGGGAAAGATTGAAGGTCAAAGAAGACAGGGACGGCAAAGGATGAGATGGTTAGACAGTGTCATAGATGCAACAAACATGAAGTTGAGCAAACTTCAGAGGACGGCGGAAGACAGGAAGGCCTGGCGGGAGCTGGTCCATGGGGTCGCGAAGAGTCGGACTCGACTGTGCGACTGAGCAACAACAAAATGGAAAAGAGACCTTGAAAAGCATGAAACCCTCATGCCAACCAGACATTGAATTTTAGCAGAGGAAAACATGAAACGTAGACACGCCAATCCCATTTGTATTATACACGGTGCTGCCTTACCCCTGGTCTAGTCTGACTTGCAGCTGTTCTCCAGGGTCTCTCAAGCAGAGCGAGGTTTCCCACACCACCTACTTCTTAACCCTCTGGCTACGCCAGGGACCTCTCGCTTTTAGCATGCAAGGCGGGCGTTCCCTGCCTGAGCGACCCTCCGACCAGGAGTTATTTTATTCGCAACAACCTGCAGTTAATGCCAGTGAAATCCGTACAATCCAGGTATTAAAGCCAAACTAACCCCACCCCCACCCCCCATACACACTATCGTATAGGTCGGAGCCTTGCCCC